CACTGGCTGATGCCCTCTCTCTCTCTCTCTCTCTCTTTCGTTCTTCCCCCGCCCCGCCGCGCCTGTTTCTTTTAGGTTGTTACTTTCCATTTTCGTCGTCGTTTTTTTTTTTTGTTTTTTTTCCTTTGGGGAGAGGGGGAGGAGGGGGGGGGAGATTCTTGGGGACTACCGGTCGCACGTTGGTGGGTACCCTGCACGACACGGAGCGTGAACGGCTGCGTCGAATTCTTCAAGCAGGGAGAGGTACTGGTGGTTTAAACAAATGATGTCTTGCACATGTAAGGGACGCTGGACCCGGTTCCATGCTTTTTAATGAAAGACTGTTTTGGGGGAAAGGAAAAAATCTTGCACATGATATCAACACCACCGCAAATGACTGTGGACTCTCTTGTGGTCTCTGCTACAGGATTTGCGGTTGATGATGGATGGAACAAGAGAGTTTGTACGCAGTCTGGAGAGAGAGTATATTATGGGTATGCAAGAAGCAGGTGAGAAGAAGACACCTTGGCATTAGCCGCCAGTCTTTAAGGCAATGGGGTCGGGGAGAATGCTACGGATGCAAGCCTCCAGGGTTTTATTAGGGTCTGCACGAATCGTTATGGTATGACGAAAAATTCAGTCGGGAGGATGAAACAAAAATTTCAGGAGTCTGGAGTCGGGAGTGAATTTTGAGTGTGGCCTCCTCCAAGCAAGGAGTTCTGTCCCTAAGCATGGACTGTTTGAGGAATGATGTGTGGTAATATCTTAGGACTACTGAATTAACACAAATATGGCGAAGTGACAATAATCGCGTAAAAGGTTGTGCAAGGAAAATGAGCAAAAGCGAGATGACAATATTCAGATTGCACAATCACATTGAAAGCCAGATCGTATCACAGTGTCCAGAAAGCAGCATTGCACCACACCAATGGAGAATCGTAACACTGAAAACCAATGTCAATGAGAGCTATCTCCCTACTTGGCGCTCGGCGCCCAGCTACTCACGGCTACAACTAGCCTACTAAGTACTTGAAGATTTCGCCCATAGCAGACCATCGCCAATACCAGGTATGTGCCCTCACATCATCATCATTATCATCCTTCTCTTCTCTCCCTCGTCCTACACCCACATCTTTCTTCTGTACACCCGAAGACCACCCCTGCGCCTCACTGCAGTCCAAGCCCATCCAGCTATGGAGGCTGGGCTATGGCGCTGCCCTCAGCAGTGCCCTGCTTCCTGCACGACCGCACGCGCTAGCACCTTGCCTCTCAGCGCCAGCAGCAGTCCACGAGCGTCCGCTCCAGCAGCGCTGCCGCTAGCATGCAAGTGCCCCAATGCCTGGCCAGGCAGCGATTTCTTTCCTATATGGAAAGAGCCTGCCTCTCTCAGTGGCCTGGTTGGCCTGGGTCTCTGCCCAGAAGCTTCCTGTAGGCCCCAGGAGGCTGTGCCTCCGATGCTACTGCTGGGCCTCCGTTCGGCTGGGCCTCCCAACTGCCTGTGTATGAGGCTGCGATTCTCGCCCAAGGCTTGCACATTTTTGGAAAAGTCTGGAAGGCCGTGGAATGTCTTGCTGCTCGGCCTGTGTTTCCCTCAACCAACTGGAGCGTCTAAAACTGCCTGGATCCCAAATACGAAATTGACAGCTGAGGGCCTCTCGTGATTTGTTAGGCCCGCCTTCACTTAGGGCGGGCACATCTGCAGCAGGGGCCCCTTAGGCCTGCCGAGGAACCAGATCCTCACAGTTTTTTTTTAATTCAGTAAATGGAGGCTACGCTGTAGCAATTGCAGGTCATATAGCTTTTCTTCCTAAGAGTCTTCGAAAAAGCCGAAAATTTTTTCATAGTCAATTGAGAATGTTCTCAATCTTAAAAATGAATCCAAAAATTTTGAACCTGGGGACCTCACTGGTCTGCTCTCTCGGGTTATGCGTTGAAGACTGATGCCATACAGAGGGAGTACCCCTTCAATTGTGTTTGAAAGTTGTTAGAAATTCTTAGAATGCATTATTCAGAATTTATTCTGCTATCTGTTTTTGTCAAAGATTTGAAATTTGGGTAGATGTTATTTGGTCCTAAGCCACCACTACCTCCAACTGTTACTGATTTGTGCTGTGGTGAAGTTCAAAATGAACCGGTGCAACAGTTTTTCTCTTCCTTTTTGGCTAGTGCCGGCACCCAAGAGGTCCAGGAGGCTGAGCCCCCGAAGAATGCAGTGCTGACAACTTCGTCGCAAGAGGTTGTGGTGGTCTAAAGTGAACTACGGACATAGACTATCCGGCACAGGTGATTCTTTGCGCGTGTAGGCGGTTCCGTTCTAATAGTGGGAAAACAATGGACCGTCCAGCCATGCAACGTGGCATCTATATGGCATGTGCTGGCACATTTATCGTCATTTGTATTAGGAAAAGTTTGCAATGCTTGTGGATACTTCAATCAGAGTTGCGAACTACTGGCCTATGGGATTGGTCTGGTGGCAGGGTTGGCCAGCAGCATCTAGGGGGATGTGATTTGGTCTGGTAGCAGGGTTAGCCAGCAGCATCTAGGGGGCACATGGACTGGTAGCCATCTCCAGACAACAAAAATTACAAAAATCGCTCAGAAAAACTCGGACAAAGTGAATGATGCAAAACAGGGAAGAGGGATGGTGTGACGATTTTTGTTGACTTTTGCTGCAAGTGTCCACCCTACCTCCTGCTACCCAGCTGCTGTTCAGAGGACACCTCCCTACAGTCCGGGGAAGCTGTTTGGATCATCGAGCAGTGTCATTGTGGGCACGAGCCTCTCAGCAGCCTTGGAGCACCTTGGTGTGAAACGGAGGGGGCTTGACTGGTGGCTGTTGAGCTGCCCGTGATGGTGGTGGCTGTTTTGTGGTGAATGCTGGCATCAGAGGAACCTTGTCCCTTGGCAGGCAGAAATGAAAAGTCAATGCGAGCAGCAGTCGGTTACTTTTTTTTGTTCAATGGCAGGGCAATGGCTTCGAGTATTCTTGTAAAACTGACTGGCCCTGGGTAGTTTAGGAATTTAGTCCATCTGGTTCCATCTGGATTCGAACACAGATCTGCATTTCAACAGTTCGTGGGTTTACCAACTGAGCTAGGCCCGTTGGTAATGATGACTTTAAATTGATTAATTCTGAAAACAATTTCGGGGGCTGTCATTGTCTAGCAAAGGATAAGCGTTTCACCAGGCTGAATCCATTGAGATGCATTTGGTTTGTTCACGATCTGTTGCAAATTTCACAGAGACAAGGATTGTGGAGGTTGCTAAGATGGCAGAGGGATATAGCCGGGTGCTTGCGGAAAACAGACGGCTGTACAATGAAGTCCAGGACCTGAAGGGTGGGTATTACTCATGTTCTTACCCCTGTGCTTTCCCCATGCCTGTTTCAGTTCTGTGGATGTCTGCACTATGCTGCCAGCGTCCATAAAATATCATGAGGATCATGAAGTAAAGTTAATGGCTACTACCTAGACCCATTCAGACTCATGTTCTTACACTTGTGCTTTCCCCATGCCTGTTTCAGTTATGCGGATGTATGCACTTTGCTGCCAGTGTCCATCAAATATCATGAGGATCATGAAGTCAAGTTAATGGTTAGTACCTAGACCAATTCAGACAGCGTGTACTGCAAGAGGATCAAGCAAGGCTTACTGCGGCTGTTCAGCAGAAGTCGGTTCCTTTGGAACATGCTATTTACCTTACAATTGATTGGTGCTCGCATGGTGGATTGCTCCCGCCTCTCTTTCTGCAGTGCCCTTGCCCTGTTGAGTCTGTTCATACGCTGACTTGCAAGTTCTAAGCACTTGGAAAGCTCTGCGATTCTCTCGTTTACCTTTTTCCCTTTTTCAACGTTTTCCTAAGTTTGATAGTCATTTGACCTGGTACTCCAACATTAGACAAACAAAACGATAAAGAGGAGGAAGCAAAGAAAAGGAGTATTAAATTATTAATCCACTAATAACTTACCTTTTGTCTCCCTGATTTCGTTGTGTCCCTTGCATCTCCTTCTCTTTATCGAATCATCCAATACATTCGATTAAAATTCCTACAGTTGGGACCAGATTGTGCCCATCTGTGAGATGGGCCGTCTGATAAGCAGCGCATTTTCCGGCATCAATCGACGGTGTGCCGGGAAACACGGCTAAGAAAGCACTGTGGAAGAACAACTACAGGACGCCGACCGTTCTAACTGTAGGGAAATGAAAAAGAAGAAAGAAAGAAAAAGCAAACTGCCCAAGCTGCGATATAGGCCTCGGTACACAACTCACCAACTGAACAAAAGAAAAATAAAATAGAGCAGTGTCTTTTTCCGTGTTCTAGGGGAAGATTCATTCTGATTTCACATGTTTGGTGAGGGGAGCAGCGAGGTCAGGTATCTCAAGGCCAGTTTCTTTTTTCTTTTGTCATTTTCGGTACTTTAAATTTGTCGCCCGTTTGGAGATCGTGTCGGTGGGCTTCGCCACACGGCTCACCAAATGTGCAATATGAGAATGAATCTTCAGCTAAAACGCGGAAAGGTACTCCACCATTATTTTTATCTTTTGGCGCGGCCAGGTACTGTTTCACATTTGATGAGTGGCGCCGCGAGGTGGAGAGTTCTGATCACAATCAGCCTAAAAACGAAAAAGGTGGAGCGTGGCGGAGTGCGCTCTCTCTCTGTCTTTCCCCTCGCCCGCCCCCTACATCTCCCCTTCTCTCCATCCATCCGTCCATTCGTTTAGGGCTGCAACTCCACGTTTGTGGAGATATGGTGCAAGTGGGACAGGATTTGTGCACGGTCGGATGGCATGAGCGGGGATCATACCGTGAATGCAGACAGGCAGGGGGAGAAGCGACAGTAGGAGGTGGTCAGGTGCCTGGTTAGGCAGGAAGGAGAAGGTTGCCATCGAAATCTTGAGGGGCTGGAGTAGCAGGAGAAGAACAAAGGGGGAGGGGAGGATGCGGGATGAGGAGGATGGGAGCTTTGGGATTTGGTCGGTCAGGATCTGGATTTAGCGACAGAGGAAGAAGAAGGAGAGTAACTGGGATAGGTGAAGCATGCAAAAGGTACGTTTGCCGGCGTTAAGGTGGTCGTGGAGGGGTCTGACGTTGAGGAGGGTCCTAAAGTACACGGGGGAAGGTCAGGTGCCTGGTCAGGCAGGAAGGAGGTCACCATCGAAATCTTGAGGGGCTGGAGTAGCAGGAGAAGAACAAAGGGGGAGGGGGAGGATGAGGGATGAGGAGAATGAGAGCTTCGGGATTTGATCGGTCAGGATCGGGATGCAGCGACAGAGGAAGAAGAATGAGAGTAACTGGGATAGGGTGAAGCATGCAAGGTATGTTTGCCCTCAAGGTCATCGTGGAGGGGGTGGACGTCGAGGAGGGTCCTAAAGTACACGGGAGGACTATGTAAGTTGAGGACCGATGTTGTGAAGAAGGGTATGAGCAGCACGAATTGGGAGGAGGCCGATCAGGATGTGGGATAGATAGGAGGACGTTGGAATGGTAGCCAATCAGGGTGAGTATGTATGTAACTGCTGAAGTGCAAGGGAAAGAACATGAAGGCAACAGGGTAAGGACTGCAGGTTGCATAGGGGGATCTGGACAAGGCAGGAAGAGGGGCTCATCCCGAAGGGAAAGGAAAAGGTTGCAAGGAAAGGAGGGAGCAGGATAGTGACGAAGGGTCTGAATCACGTGAGGGATAGGATAAATGCAAATATGCAGCAGGTGGTAGAGAGAGAGAGCAAGAAAACACGACAGAAGCCACATCGAGTATTGGAGGAGTTGGAGCTCGAAGAGAATATCAACGGAGGAGAAAAGATGTGGGGAACGGGGAAGAGAGAGGGGACCGACAAAATTCGAAGAGGATCCGAATGGAGGAGAGAAAGACGTGGTGAAATATGGGAAGAAGGTGACCCATGGAGGACAAAGAGAGGAGGATGAGAAAAGCGGATCGGTGGGGGAAAGACTGGGGGAGGGATGGAGGCCACAATTTCTAAGATGGCATCCGGACAGGGAGGGAATGGAGAAGGAATGGGAAAAATGCGAGTGGGTAGGTAAAAGTGAGAGTGAGAGTGAGAGTCTGTGTGTGTGTGTGTGTGTGTGTGTGTGTGTGTGTGTGTGTGTTACCTGTGTGTGTGTGTGTTACCTGTGTGCGTGTGTGTGTGTGTGACCTGTGTGGGTGCGTGTGTGCTGTGTTACTGCTTACTGATTGAGTGCGGGGTCGGAGCTCAAATTTTTGAGCTCCGCTCAATCCCGCGCTCAAAAGCGCTTGAGCGAGGTTTGAGTGGGCGTGGGAATATTTTTTTCCCCAGGTAAGAATAAGCAAAAAAAATAAATAAAAGAAAATAGGGTTGTAGATATTTTTGAGATCTACAACCCTATTGTGAGGATTGAGCCCTCAAGTAGGGGCCTTGCCATGATGTACATGTTCTGGGCTAAGGCCCCAGCAAGCCTAGTGCCGCCCTAAGTGAAGGCGGGCCAGCAAATCGACAAGAGCCCTCTGTGCAACATTTCACGAAGTGGGGTCCATACAGTTGCAGCACGCCAGTTGGTTGGAGTGCACCGAGTCTCGGATTTCAGCAAATGCTGAAAGCCCAGGGCCTCTGAGTTGGTTAGGCCCTGGGCATCTGAACGTGAGGCCGACAATGCATGCTGGGAAGAGAGGCCGAAAATGCCAAAGGGAAATTGGCCCACTGTCTGAATCTGGCCGCAGGCCTTGATGAAGGAGGCGCAACTGCCTTACCCCGGAGCCCAACTGTATCGAGTTGGCTTCAGCCTCTGGGCCCCGGTCACAGGCTGAAGGGAGGCCGCCCACACGCTGCACTGGCATATAGGCAAGCAGGGCGAGGCAGCGGGGATCTTGGCCAATGCTGGCATATGCGGGCACGCTGCGCGGATGCAAGTGTGCAGCGCTATGCAGAGCAGCGCTGCGCTAAGACAGAGCAGGCCAGCGCTAGGCGGTAGGGCGCTGCCTGCGTGCAGGGCACTGGCGGCCATAGCCGGGCCGCACGAGGGTGCAGGGGAGGTGAGGGCGAAGGTGGTACTTCGGAGGTGAAGGGCGYTGTGTGGGTAACAAGGGAGAGTGTKGGGAAGAGGACACGTACCTGGTGATGGTGGAGGTCTGCATTGGTGTTGACATCATCACTCGCTGGTAGTCAAGTTGTCTGGTTGCTGTTCATTGCTGTAGTTGTAGGATAGGCTGTAGAGTAGATAGGGCGCCTGRCGCCATTCACAAGAGAGAGCTACATATGGGTTATGCTGTTGGTGTTGCCCTGGTGGGCATGGACATTGACTCACGATTCTTCTGTATCATTCTCAATGGGATGGTTACTCGGTTCCATGTGCTATCTGCTTTGGCTTTGAATACTTGGACTTCAGTGTGATTTTGCATTCTGGATCTCTGTGCTTCGTCCATACTCATGTTCCTTGCACTATGTTCTTTATTTTATTTTTTGAAGTTTTGTTATATTTAAAAAAAATCAAAAACATAAAAGAAAGAAAAGAACAAAAAAAACAGTTTGAAATGGGTGGGTTTTTCTTTTTTTCTCACAGTGATAGTGGGTAAACAATTGAAATGGTTTTAACCTGTTAGCAGTAGCGAATGCAGATCCCAGGGCTTGACCGCTAGTCCTTACCGCTGAAATGGGAGAATATTCGCATTGCTATATTGGCGGATCTGCATCGAAGTAGACGCATAGGGGAAGCAAAGGTGACAGGCTTTTGGCAGAGATGGGCCCCGTTCCCGCAGATGCTGTCTCAGGACCTTAGCACAGGGCAGCTGCAGTTCAGACCAACACATCTTTTGGAGATCTACTACCCCATTGTTTATTTTTTGTTTTTTTAAGTTCATATGTAATTAAAAAAAATGAAAAACACCCTCCTTTGTAGCAGCACTGAGTCGAGTGAGCGTGACGTACAGAAGACAACATAAAAGAACTTTCCGCTCGGGCAAGCAGCCCCATTCTCCTGGGTCAAGTCTCAACAGAAGGGACTCTGAGAGGGTCTTCTTGATGCAGCGCCACACGTTCAGATGGAAATGGAAGTCTCCCATCCTTGTTCCCCTCTTTTTGTTACTCTCACTCATTTTGCTGTTCTCCACCTCTTCCACATACCCGATGTGGGCACTATCGCTAACTGCCATAGCCAAATCATTCCCCTTTTTCCTCCTCACCCTTTTTAGCCACGAAGGTCTTCTTCAATCCCAAGCTCTCCCTTCACCTCCAACTTGCTCTGTCACATTCTCCCTCTTGGCAGAGCAGCAGCACGACCGCCATAGCGACTCTCGGAGCACTGCCTCGGGGATATAATCCAATATCTCCATGATCTCCTATCCACACAGCTTCTGAACCTAACCAGC